GTAAGTATATTTTACAATTGTGTGTTTTTTTGTTGTTGTTGTTTTTTTTTAATTTTATGCAAGTTAAACCTATTCTTTGACAAATAGGAAGGCATGTTTTGTTTGTTTTTGATTTTATTTATTTTTGTCATAGTTTAGATTTTAATTGCTAGTTATTTAGATAATAAATAGTTATTTTGTAACTTCAAGTGTTCAATAAAAATGATTAAAATCCCATGGCAGAACTGTTGAGCACCAAATAAAAGATAATAACAAGAATAATAAAAACCCACAAAAATTTTTAAGTGAATATTACTAGTATTAAAGAGCAAAGGACTATGTTGGGCGCCAATGAAAAATATTTGAAAAAAATCCTTAAAAACTTGGGAGGGAAATTTTGACCAAATGTTTGAAAAAAAATATGAATTAAAATGAAAATTTTACTGAAATTTTGGAAAAATATTAAAAAATACTAAAAACGTTGGGCGCCAATGAAAAATATACATCAAAAAATCCATAAAGAATATGGAGAGTGATTTGGTTGAAGAATTTGAAGCGGAAACTTTAAAAAATTAAAAAAAAAATCTTAGTTAAAAAATTCGAACCAAAATTTTGGAAAGTGTCAAAAAAATATAGAAAAATACTTTTTTTCAGAAAAAATAATAAGAAATTTTGCTCTAGTACTGAACATTTGTTTTGAAGACAGTTCTCTAATTTAAAAAAAATTGATTTTAACTTGAGCAGAAGATTGTTTTAAGTTAATAAGGTAAAAAATAATCACTTAACAGTTGGGCGCCATTGAAAAAATATGTAAAAAAAATCCTAAAAAGCTAGGAGAACGTATTGAATCACTATTAGAAAACAAATGATTAAAAAAAAATAAATTAATTAAGTTCTAGTACTGAACATCAATTCACAGACAGTTCACAAATTTAAAAAAAGTAATTTGCTGAAAATATTTTACTCGACTTTGGGTTTCTTTCTAACTTTGAATGTTTTTTTCTTTTGGCGCCCAACTTCAATGACAAAAATGTTCGATTCCTCAGGTCTGAATAAAAAAATTACCAAAATATAATAAAGAGACAATTTGATTCGATTCTTTTAGTGATCTGAATTGTTTTAAATTTTTAAAAAAGCAAGTAAGAAAAAAATTGGCCTCCATTTCAAAACAATTTTTTTCCGAAAAAAAATCTGAGGAAGTTCTTCATTTTTAAAACATTTCCCCCTATTTCAAATAACATATTCTTCTGATAAGTTCCTTTTTATGATTTTTGGTTCTTTTTCGATTGTTTTGAAACATTAAAATTTTTTTGTGCCATTTTTCTTTTTAAATTTCCCGATTTTTTTAATAACATAATTTCAGATTTATTTTTGAAAATAAAATTCCGTACTTATTTATTCCTTCGAAATGTTTGGGTTCATTTCTTCTTTTTTCTCCATTTTTTCAATATTTTGTGGTTTATTTTGTTTAAATTCAAATTAGCTTTTTTCCATATTTTCCCAATTTTAGGATATCCCTAACACTTGAAGTTACAAAATAAGTTACATATTTTCAAAATTGTTTTTTTGTTGTTGATGATTTTTTATTTTTATTTTCCAAAAGAAAAAAAAAGATTTTTTTTTTGTTATAAAATTTGTTTGCAAAAAAATAATGAAATTCTTATAAACTGCTGCAATAAAAAAATAAGTGTAGTTTTTTTTCTTATACATATATATTTTAAATAATTTTGTTTTTTAGTTTTTATATATAAAGCACATTATGTTTGTTGTATTTGTTATAGGTTTTTTGTTCTCTTAATAATTATTTTTATACAAACTATTGTAAAAAATAAAAAAAAAACAAAAATATTTTAAAGCACTTGTGTTCAATTTTTCATAAATATATTTTTTTATTAAGGCTGTTTTGTAGAGTTCCCAATTATTATTTTTTCGTTTTGAGTTTTAAAGACACTTTGTTTTATTTTTTTGAACGGAAAACTAAGTAGAAAAAATTAATAAATTAATCAAAATTGTTTTTTTTTATTTTATATTATGCATTAATTTGTTTTTCTTAAATGTAAAGACACACCTAATGCAAAAAAGTAGTTATGAAGATAATATCGTCCATTTTGTTTTTTTTTGTTTAAGATATCTAAAAGTATTATTTTTTGTTTTATTATATATATAATTTTTATGTTTTAAAATAAGAGCACATTTAGTAGTTTTTAATGAGTGGTTTGTTTTTGTTTTTTTTTAAAATAGATTTTTGTTAAATATAATTTTTTCAACAGTTAAGGCATTATTTTATTTTGTTTTCCGTTGTTGATTTTTTTTCATGGGCATTTTGTTAGTTTGTTAATAATAATTTGTGTTTTCGTTTTTTTTTATCACTAAGTAATGAAATATCATTTGTTTAAAATAATTTAAAAAAAAAACATAAAAAGGATAAAGCCAAAAGTTGGGTTAATTTTCTGTTTGTTTGTTTCTTTACAATTAATCTCTTGATTTTTTTTTGTTGTTAACTTAAATTTTAGTTGTTTAATTTTTTGCACACACATAAACTAAAAATAATAATTACTGTTGTAGGCTTAATCAAATATTTATTTTTATTTTCATATTATTTTTTAATAAATTTGATATTCCAATTTTTTGTTGCAATTTTTTGTCACAAATAAATTAAAACTTTTTTAATGGAATGCATTGAAAGACAATTTTTGTTTATTTTATTGTTGTTTGTTTCTATTTATTTTTGTTTATTATTTATTTTTTGTAAACAAATTGAGGTAGTTGGGCTCTAAAAATGTTTTACTTTCAAAATAAAACTGTGCTATTTTATATTTCAATTAATGGCATCCCTACTTGCATGGTTGGCATGACAGTAACCAATATTCGAGTCCCCTTGTGATGACAAACACAACAATGCAAAACCAAACACAGCACAGGCAAACACACACATTTACTCATATTATACATTGTTTACAACAACGAGTAATCATCATCCATTTCAATAAGATAACAGAAAATGGTTCAATTGAGAGAAGTTACAGAGCGAGAGAGAGAGAAAGAAGAGGAGAAATTGATACGGTATTCAACAGTGATTACCACTTTTCACAGAGACAGATAGAAAGGGAAGGAAATAATACGGCACTTTGGCATGTGATATTGTTACTCAGAGAGAGAGAGAGAGTGATAATGGGAAAAGTGCATTGTGGAGATGCCGTTATAATTCATTAAAAAGCCATTGACAATGAAACAATGCAGATCTCGATAATTCAATGCAATTGACAGTTGTATATTAGTAATGCCAATTAAGCGTTTTTAATGAAAAAATCAAAAAGTTTCAGTAATGACAATTTTGCGATTTTTAATTTAAATTAAAAAACAATTAATAAACTGGGGGAAAAGTAAAAATATAAAAGAAAGAAAAAAAACCGGGAATTTGATATCAGTGATGACAATTTGGCGTTTTTTGAATTATGAAGTTGTGATAAGAAAAATAAAAAACCTTAAAGGAAAGTGGAGAAATTTAATTCAATTTTGAACAGTGATGTTAATTAGGCGTTTTTTCTTGATTTGAAATTTTTGAAAATTTTGGCAAAAATTAACTGTATAAAGAGAAAAATAAAAGAAAGAAAAAAAACAGAATATTGATATCAGTGAAGACAATTTGGCGTTTTTGTGAATTATGAAGTTATGATAGGAAAAATAAAAAAACTCAATGAAAAAAGGAAAAAATGTAATAAAAATATTAACAGTGTTGTAAATTAGGCGTTTTTTCAGGATTTCAAATTTAGGCAAAAATTTGTATAAAAAAATACAAAAAACCAATGCAGGGGTTGGCCGAATGTATATATTGGAAAATTGTGATCGCAGGATGGGTGATGTCAATTTGGCGTTTATTGCATGATGTGCGTTAAGTAAGAAAAATGAAAAAATGTGAAGAAAAAGTTTAGAAAATTAATGCAAAAAATAACAGTGGTGCCAATTTGGCGTTTTTTCATCATTTCAAATGTAGGTCAACATTTTTATGAAAAAACGCTATTGCAAGGATGGACATCGACTGTAATTGTTGTTTATTACGAAAAATTGCCATTGCAGAATAAGTGATGTCTATTTGGCGTTTTTTGAATAATGTATTTGAAATGAGAAAAACAAAAAAACTAACAGAGAAATGGAGAAATTTAACAAAAATTTAACAGTGATGCCTATTTAGCGTTTTTTTAACAATGTTACATAAAGCTATTTATCACTCTGATGAAAGGGAAGAAAGAAAATTAATAAAAATTTAACGGAAGTAAATTATTTGTTTTTGGAAAATGAAACACATACACATGCTTACCTACATATACGCAGAAACTAAACTATGTATAATTTTTAAGGTGGGTTCGTTGAAAATTGATGGGTCAATAAAAGAAGAAGAAGAAGAAGAAAAAAACAAATTAAACAAAAAACAAAAATTCTAAAAATAAATACAATTTTTTTTGGACAATTATCAAAAAATGGAAGACACAAATTGCATGTTTGGGGTTAATTAAAAAAACGAAGAAGATGGAGCGGAGTTAATTTCTAAACATGAGGAATTTCTAAATCAAAAGTGTTTGGTGCTGGGTTTCCGAGAGAGTGTGATTGTCATTTTTTGTAATTTTTTTTTTGGAAGGTAGTTACTAGCAGCCACTTCCTTGTGTAGAAAAAACCATTAATTCCCAGTTACTATTTTGTGAGTAATAATATTTTAGGCCTTATTGCGGTTCTCTATGCCAACCGATCTTTTTTTAATATCTCTCTCCACTGGATTTACTTAGCAGCCATTATTTTTTTTAATTTCATTTTTCACATTCATTTTTACATAATTTTTTAGAATTTTTTCCATCTGTGTTTGTTTTTTTGACCAGCAAAATTACAAAAAGAAAAAATATTGTTGTTCTTGTTGTTGTTGTATAAAAAAACTTTTTAAAAACAATAATAATACAAAATAGAAAAAACATTTTTTTCCATACGATAATTAGGCAAACCTTCTTAATTTTTTAGAAGAACCCCCCATTCTAAGCCAAACAACCACCATTGGCCATAAACGCAGCTGCCACCCCAGTATCCAAATCAACAAATTCCGCAGCATCACCGGTCAAATGGGCCAACAAATCGGCATCATTCAGATAATCATTTTTAATGGAAATCTGCTCATGGAAGGGTACAATGCTGCTGCCGCTGCCATTACCACCCATCAAACTGCTCGTGAAATCCAGCAGGTTGCTTCCCCCATTTGTGTTCTGCAACAGAGTGGGTCCGCCATGGTTGTGGCTAATCGGCTGATGGACATTTACAGCATGTTTAATGTCCACGAAGCTATCACAATTACTCTCGAACAGAAATCTCTCGGCTGACTGAGCTGTCGTATAGGGACTCTGCGAGTCGACCAATTCGTTCTTTACGAATTCGGTGGCTGTGGTGGGCGTGGAGACACAGGACATGGGCGAGGCCACACTGGCCAGCAGGGCACTGCTGTCGCCGCCATTGCTGCTGATCGGTGTCCGGCAGGTGGTGGGTGTGTGGGCCAGCGACAGGCCCAGACCGGAGTCACAGTTCGGAATGTAATCGGCCAGCGAGTGGCCGCCAACTAGGCTGGAAGCTGAGCTGTTGAGGGCATTGTGGTGGGCGGTGGGTGTACTGGCGTTGCTGAGATGTGTCTGGGTCTGCAGGGCGGCTATGCACAACGAATTGCTGTCCTGTGAGGGTGAATTCAAATAGGCCAATTCCTGGTGAGTGGTGGGTGAGGGTTTGCAATAGCCATTGGGCAGTTGCACTGCTGCTGCGACATTCTGGTGGTGCATGTTTGAACTTGGCGTTAAACTGGGAAGCTGAGATACAATTGAAACGGTGTTGGTAAGAGCGGCGGAGACCACAGCAGCGGCGGCCTTGAAACCATTACTGCGTGAAAATTTGATAGTCGACATCGGTGGGATAGCAGTGCGTTGCGGTTGCGGCTGGGTGGTGGATTGTAATGATGAGTTGTTGTTGCCATTTGTTGTTGTGTTGCTGCCATTTGAGGTCTCCTCCAAATTTAAATCCGCCAAATATTTAAAAGCCGGCGACTGCAACAATTTCGATGGCAAATTCAAACCCCCCGGATGCATACAATTCGGTTCATGGGCCTTTAGCATATCCAACAACTTGCGACGTTCCGTTTCCAACTGACGCACCTGACTTTTCAAATCGACATTTTGTGTGTCCAACTGCTCCGCCTCTTTAATGAGATTTTGGGTACGTTCACGTTTCTTCATGCGACATTTGGTGGCAGCGATTTTATTACGTTCACGGCGACGACGACGTCTATCTTCGTCTTCGGGCGTCAAGCCCTTGCCGCTATTCGTGCTCGTACTCTTCTGTTCGCTATCATCATCGGTGGTCTCGTCGTACTCATCGTTGGGGCGTGAACATTTCGACATTGGCTGTTCGGAACCGGAACTCGAATCACAGGTGGATAATTTCCGTTTACTTTGGATGGATAGCTTGAGACCGGCTTTGATTAGCTGGGAACAGGTCTGGAAGGAGAGAGAGAAGAAGGAAGAGAAAATAATGGAGATTAGAAAAAATATTGAAATAAAAATTTTATATATAAAAATGAGAAAAAATTAATTTTTTTTTAATTTTTGTTTTTTTAAATTTTTTTAATATTTTAATAAAAAATATTTTAACAAAAATTTTTTTTTTATAAAAAATAATTTTTTATAAAAAAGAAATTTTATATAAAAAATATTTTTTTATAAAAAATATTTTTATATTTTGTTTATAAAAAAATATTTTTATATATATATTTTATAAAAAATATTTTTATATTTTTTTTTATAAAAAATATTTTTTTATAAATTTTTTTTAAATTTAAGAAAAAAAAATTTTATAAAAAATTTTTTATAAAATATTTTTTTATAAAAAATATTATTAATAAAAAATATTTTTTTTTATAAAAAATATTTCTTTTTTATAAAAAATATTTTTTTTATAAAAAATATTTTTTTTATAAAAAATATTTTTTTATAAAAAATAATTTTTTTATAAAAAAAATTTTTATAAAAATTAAAAAAATTCTTTTTAGAAAATATTTTTGTAAAAATAACTTTTTTTCAATTTTTTATTCCGTCGACCCTGAACAGTAACCAAAATACACAAAACGTCAATCGGTCGGTCGCCAGGTCGGCAGACGTCTACCCGTTTACAACAACAAAAACATTTGTATTTTTATTTTATTTTTTCGTTTAAAACTTGACAAAAATGTTTGTTATAAGCTTAACTACGTCTCAAAATCTGACAGGTCTCGCGAAACGTAAAACTCGTCTGTCACCAATAACCAAATCCGTAAAAAAACGCAAGATTTTTATTTTTTTCTACCTCTCTCGTGGCTTGGTGTTGTTGTTGTTGTTTTTTGTTGGATATTGCTATAAAAGAATTGAAATGAATTAAGAAGCAGTTGGGACGAATTGGAAGGACAGGTAAGCTAAGCTGCAGCCAGCAATCGGAATAGAGTTTGGAGTTTGAAATTTTTGGGAGGTTAGGAAATTTGGTAATGCCCAGAAACTTTTTCAAATATTTTTTTAAAGAAAAAAATTAGATTTTTTCTAATATTAGAAAAATAATTTTTATAAAAAAAATATTTTCTTTGTTTTTTTTTATAAAAATATTTTTTTTTAAATTTTTATAAAAATATTTTTTTTAATACATAAAAATATTTTTTAATTATTTGTGTAAAAATATTTTTGTAAAAAATATTTTGTATTATTTTTATTAATTTTTTTTTTAAATTTTTATTAAAAATTTGTTTTTATTTTTTTGTTAATTGTGTTTTGTAATTTTTTATAGAGAAAATGTTTTTAATATTTTTTTAAATATATTTGTAGAAATTATATTATTTTGTTTTTAATATTTCTTGTATAAAATTTAAATATTTTTAAAAAATTTCCCCCCAACATGGCAACCCTCTATTAGACCCATATATTTCGCATCTGATACCTGTGCTCGGTCGCTCACACACGCTGTGTTTTATGTTTATTTTGTTTCTTTATTTGTTTAACCAAAATTGGTAACTTGGTCGAGATGTGTGTGTGTGTTTTTTTCAATTTTTTTGGGATCGATCACACGTTGGGTTTGCATGATTTGTACAAACGACACAATTACAACTTGGCCAGCCAAAATTCGCAAATAAAAACCTCTCTTAAAAAGTTTCTTTAAATGTCAAAAAAAAAAAAAAAAAAAAAAAAACAAAACGAAAACCTAAAATCGAAATCCAAAAAGCACAGACATTTCCAAATTGCATCGATTTGAAAGCCATGATAATAATCTGAGTAATTCTCACGATAATAAACCAACCAAAAATTACTGATATGGAGTTTTGTATTACAAACGCAAAAAAAAAAAAAAATACAACCCATAACTCTAAGTGACACCTCACTAGTCATGTAAGTCATAAGCTGTTGTGATTTATGACCAAAAAATTGAAATTATTTTTTATTCGAAATAATAATAACAGCAGTGCCTATGTATGCCATTAAAGGCATGCGCCAATAAAACAGGATTGGTTTTGGAGGGAAATGTGTGAACAAGAATTTTAAAAGAAGGTGGGAACATATTTTTGGTCCTTCGAATCAAATATTTTTTTTGGAAAATAAGAAAAATTTGAAATAATTTTTTTTGGAAATTTGAAATAAAAAATGTATTTTTTTTAATTTTTATAAAAAAGATAATTTTAATAAATAATATTTTTAATATTTTTATAACATATTTTTCTTTATATTTTTATAATTTTTTTTTAATATTTTCATAAAAATTTTTATATATATTTTTTATACCCTACACAACTATGTTGTCAGGGTATTACAGCTTTGTGCAGCCCAAGTGTTTTTAACGCCGCGAAATACTGGTCCTAGATCTACCTTTAAGTATACCGATCGTCATATCTTGACTAGCTGAGTCGATCTAGACATGTGTGTCCGTCCGTCCATTTGTAAACATGATACAGTTATGGACCAATCTTCACGAAATTTTGCATGTATGATGGGTTCTGGCCAATGAAGACCCCTATTGTTTTTGGTAAATATCGATTAGTATTCCTGGGATGAAATTGACCAAATACTTAATTTTTGTCCGTTTTTTGGTCGCTCCAGAGCCCGCAATTATGATTCGAACATCGTGAAATTTTACATGGAGATGGGGATCGAGCCAACGAATGAGCCTGTGCCTGTTTTGATATAGATTGGTCAATATTTAGCGGGTCAAATGGTCCCTGTGTGCAAAATGGCAAAATGTGTAGTCTATGGCGTATATTTTTACCCCTGAAGGACCTAGACCCGAGATGTTGAGAGGAGTTGTTGACCTTTAAATTGATACCAATTATATAATCGTATGTTCTCGGCTGTGGGTGTTATTTACTTTACAGGTGCTTACGTATTCATATATTATTTAGTAACCCAATACCACACTAGAGGGCGGAAATATTAAGCTGATTGATTTTAATTTTTCCTTGAGGTTCCAGTTATGGTCAAGGATAGAACCTATAGTTTTTGATGATGTTTAGATACTAATTTTGGGATGAAGTGGATCGAAAACTTATTTTTGGTGGTTTTTTTTTTTCGAGTCGATCCATAGGCCACAGTTATAAGCCAAACATCACCATACAGCACACGGTGAAGCAATCTGGATTATTAATTAGAAGGGCTGTACTGAATGTTAGTAATATTTGGAAAATATGTCACTGTAAGGAAGAGGTGCTGTTGACCTCTAATCGGGCAAGAGGGTTCAAATGTCATGAAATATTGCACAGGCTCGGAATAAACATCCGCTGAAAGTTAGAACTCCGTGGTAGGTGTGTAGGGTATCTTATGGTCGGCCGTCTGACTATACTTCTCCGCTCACTGGTTTTTATATATTCTCTAATTTTATAAAAAAAAATAAATTTATTGATTTTTTTTAAATTTTTATTCTATAAAAAATATTTTTCAAAATTCTTCAGCCTTGAAGGACCACCTTTTCCCTTTTCCAATTTTTATTTGTAGCACTTTCCCTTTTCAGTTTCAATTTTTAATTTTAATTACTTAATTTTTCATTTATCTCGAAAATATTTCCAAAAAAAAGTGAAAATATCTGCGCCTGCCATAAATTCTTGTGGTCATTGGAATAAATTTGCCCTGGGTTGTGACAAAATCCCAATGGGGAAAACACATTGCAGCGAATATTTCGATTTTTTTTTGGTAAATTTAACACAGCCATTTATGGGCAAATGAAAACCCAAAAGAAGAAAAAGAAGAAGCAGCAGAATTACGGTATACACAATTGGAACGAGGACTACTGTTGGGGGCTACTGGGCATGGCATGTGTTGTGACAATAACCACAAATCGTAAATGATCGATCGATCTTTGGTAGGTTGGTGAAAATGATTTAACGCAAAACAAATAGGGCTTTTGGACATTTCCATAAAGCAAAAAAAAAAAAAAAAAAAAATGGTCACATCAATAAGCCACCACCACCAGGAGAACGTGTTCCATTTCAATTTTGTAAATAAACGAAATTTAGGTTAAAATATCTTGAAATCGAAATCAATGGCTGGGCATGATTTGTGGCATTGCTTGTCGTTGAGGCAATTATTTTTTTCGAATTTATTTATGCACCTTTGTAATGCCAATGTGGAGGAGGAGGGGGAGGAGATCGATGATCAGGCCCTTCTTTACAACTGTCAAAAAAAACATCCAACTCTTTCACTTGTTACGCATTTTTCTTTAAATGGAATAATATTTTATTTTATGTGAATAAATAAATAAAAGAAGGGAAACCGTAATTTTCTTGTAGGAGTTTTGTGTGACAATAACATAAAAATGAAGAAGAAGCAGACTCTTCCCTCCATCCACAATACTTTCAAGTTTTCCAATAAAATGCATAAATCTTTAAAACGCCTGGTAGCTCCATTGAAGTTTTTGTTTTCTTGCTCCGAGGTTATTTTATTGTTATGTCGATGCCATCGATCATCACCCAAACCCAGGGGCTGGCAGCCATGCACCACTCAGACATAACAAGACATTTCCGTATAAGGTGCTCGCCGATGCACTCTCACTTTGTGCAGCAACCACCGCAACAACAACAAAGTCCACCCACCAGTCTGGGCAGCCATCATCATCATCATCGTCATCTAGACCCAGTGAGTAAATCAATGGAATTGCAAAGCAAAGTGCCTAAATGACGGACTGACTGGCTGGCCGACTTGACTGCCTTAAATGTAGGTCACACTTGACAATATGCGGCTGCTGCTGCTTCACTTAATGTTGTTAGTGTTGTTGTTAATGTTGTTGCTGCCTGGTGGTGGCGGCTGCGACATGTTGTCGCTCATCGCTTTTGGAATTGTTTACATTTCCACTGAATCGAATGCGTGATCAAGATTTTTTGAAAATGATTTAACAACATTTTTTGTGTTGTTGTTCTTGTTATTGTTGTTTATGATAGTTTTAGACTCCAAATAAAATAAAAAAAATTATTTAAGCCTTTTTTTGGGGCCATCAAAAT